CTGCGCAGATTTGGAATAAAAGCAAATATCTTGGCTCTGTGTGTTTTTCGGCTCTCTGCACACCGGGTGGAAGAACCCATATTTGGGACAACAATATGTTAAATAAAAACACTGGCACTCTTTATAAGTGAGTGAGTGTCAGCTTTTAAAAGGTGGATCGACCGTGTCTTGATCCAATTCAAATAAAAGGCAGAGCTACTTGAAGCGGGTTTTACTTTTAGTGCGTTGCTCCTATATTTTGTTGTATTTGTATTTTGGCACTACATCCAACAGCCCTTACTCCGGGCCCCGCCCATAGTGGGCGCGGTCCGGTGCTGCTCCTCAGACGTAGGCGGGGAGAAGGGGGCGGGCCGCCACGAGAGTCGTTCAGGTAACGGCCTGCGGCCTGGGGGGAGGCTGGGGCTGGGGCTGGGAGCCCGACGTGGGTGGCGGACTTCACTTCGCGCGCGGCCTCCCGGGCCTGAGGTGGCTGAGGTCCGAGGCGTTACTGGAGAAGCTGGTGTCCTTGGCGCGGGGGAAGAAGCATGTGGCGGGGCCGTTTGACTCCGGTGCCTGGTTCTCCTTCTGGTACCAAAGGATGCTACTGGGCAGCCTGCGGGCTGCCCCTTTTGTACGCTGTTCAAGAGGGGAGGGTGCTAGCCAGCATCTCCTTTCTAAGCCATTCCCCTTCCCTTTAAGGTAAAGGTGAAACATGGAATCTTCTTGAAAAGACATGTTTCAAAAATAAGCAGAGTGGCTTTGAATACCAGGCTTTATAAGTTATAGGGTTTTTTTCTTAATGGAACCGGCCAATCCCATCCAGCCAGCTGAACAAATATATACAGGCAGAGCACAGCTAGCAATTCGAAGTGCTAAAACTTTATCATTCCATTTATGCTACTGTAGTAGCTGTTTCTGCATACACACTGATTTCTGTGAGAAAAGGAAGAGAACGCTTATTCCTGTTCTGAACACTAGGGTGGAGGAATGCCTTTGAAGGTGAAATTTCTCCTTGGGTAAAAATAGAACTTAAGTAGTAAGTTTATCAGAGTGGTGGTGTACAAAACAGTATTATAGAAGTGGTTGTTTAATATGTTCTATATTCCATTTTATTATTGTAAAGTTAATATTTGTCTAGAAATATATTTTGTTCTCCCCGTTTCTCCTACCTTGTCTTGTTCTAGGTAGTCAAGCCACATACTCCATTAATTAAGTTCCCAGACAGAAAAAGTAGTCCCAGACCTAAAAGTAAGTATTTCATCTATAGATACAACTTGCCCCACATTTCTTTGCATTAACTGTTTTATATAAGAGCCAGCACACAATTTTTCTGCTTCGACTATGCAACTCAACTGATGTTGAGCAGGGTTTCTGAACCATAGTTGTTTTAGTTTGAAGGCAACTCTTTGAGTCTTCCTTTTCAGACTCTATACAACTGTAGGAATATACATGCATGTCTTTATTTCTTGGTCAACGCAGATTCACAAATATTTCTAGTGTTGTTTTCCTACTTATATACAGAGACCCATTTTTGCAAATACTAATATTTGCCTGAAGTGATGGTGCCCAAGTCAATTTGAAGTAGCCTTAGGTATTTGGTGATATTTGTAGAAATGATGTTGCATTTTCCTCATCCTTTCTTTTCCTAATTGGAGTGTGCAATGTCTGTGGTATTTAAAACCCTGATTATAGCTGAGAGCCATCACACTGTACATTTTAAGAAGCATTTCCTTGTGCTATTAATTAATGCTGAGAAAAAATTAACTTCATTGCAGTCTTTGACATTAATGTTTATACCTACAGCTATGTTTATATTTATAGGAACCCCAATACTGTTACATTTAGACATCAAAGTTAATGAGCTGTATGTTGTTTTAATATTCCTTTTGAGTCAATAAAGCATTTGAAAAGTAGTAGATGTTTTAAGAAGCTCTGTTGTTATTCTCACTTATTTAGAAATTATACCGTACCACATATTTGCCACAGCATTATCACACTTGGGATTTAGCTTTAAGTTTAGTTTATCCATTAACATTGCAAAGTATCTACAGTGTACATCAGTGCTGCTTCTGACTTACCTGTGAATTCTTCAGGAACTATTTTCTGTGATAACTTTCAGTCAGAATTTTGTATGTTGTGCCCAGTTCAGCCAATTGCATCTCTCATGCCAGTGAATTGTTTTCTCAAAGGCTTAAAAACATGTTACTTAGTTCATGTTTATCTTTGCATCAGAAGATTTTTGTGATTATATATTTTAAGTATGTTAGACTTTTCTACCTTAACTGATTTCTATCGCCTCACTAGTAAATTGCAATCTAACTCACTTTGCTTGAATGGTGTAGCAATAATTGTTTCACCGTACCAGACTGTTGCTTCTACATAGCTCAACAGAGCTCTGCAGATCAAGACTATACTTTTAGGGATGTGAGTGCTTGAAAGGCCAGCCAAATTCTGTTATCATATTGCTACTGCAACATGATGGTCTCAAATAGGGAAGGGAAAACTCTAGTAGGGACTGTATCTGAGCTTAAGCAACAGCAGTATTGGGTCGTGTATTTTTGAGTCTTGACTTCAGGTTTTTAAATGGCCAATGCTTCTATTCCAACTACGCTTGAGACTTTAAAACATACAATAGAGGAAAATCTTAGGCAACTATCTAAACATTTATGTGGTATATAAAACAAATTTGGAGAAATTGTTTCTTTTTTTTTTCCATATATAAGGTGTGTTACTTCTTGAAACAAAAATACTTTGTAGTCATTACTAGCCAAAACTATTATCTGTGTGTTGTTTTATTCTGTTTTTATCTTATGTTCCCTTTGCCTCCTGCTCTTAAATTTTAAAATTTCAGCTTAATGGCATGCCCCCTGTTCAGATTGTGCTCCTTCTGATGGGTTCTCTTCCTCCTCACTTTTCTTTGGGACCTTCCTTTGTTGATGCTGTTTTGTAATATTAAAAATGGGTACAGCATTGTATTGCATGTTGTGGTATGTCATAGTTGTGAGCTTTATCTTTCAGTAAGCCTCTACCATTTTTTCACTTGTCTCCTTACAGTTGCAGTAAACAAAAAGCATCATCTTAGGGGATGTTATTTATTTATCTTAGTTATCTTTCTACATAAACCCCTCCACACACACATTTGATACTTTATGCTTTTTTCTGCAAGTACAGCTTCTCAGTGAAAAAGCCTTTATTAGGATATATGCTGATTTATCTTGTTTCCACATCAGTATTTCTGCCACTCAAATATACTTTCTTTTACTTTCAGAATTTTTTCACTGTGTTCTTGGTATATTTAACAACAATAAAAACAGCTTGTGAGAAGTAGAGTATCTTTTAGTTCTTTTAAGTATTTGTTATAATGAAGAAAATTGTCAATAACTGGTAGCTTTTATTGGCTGCTCACTAATCAATTTTACAGTTTTGTTATATTTCTGTAATGGTTTTGCAATCTGGGTTTCAGTACAGGAATCTCTACAAGCAAGTATGCCATCTCTCAATGCTCCAAAAGCACAGGAGTCTATAGGAGGCAGATCACCGGCATTTCAAAATATTTCACCTGTTAGTAGAGTACAAGGTATACCAGACACTTTTGAATTAGAAAGAACCTTACCTCAGAAATACAGAAGGAAACTTATGTCAGATGAAGAGATTGATTATATTCAAGTAAGTTTCATTTATTGGTGTGTATTGTCTGTATTTACCTAGCATTTATCTTATTTCTACACCTTCAGATTTTAAAATATGTTATTACATTGTAATTCTTGGTAAGTGTATACTCAGAGTTTTTACAGCTTTGATGCACAATACCCAAACTACAAAATCTTGATACACAAGGTATCCAACTCTCACTAATTAGTAGCTTGTGGTATCACCAATTAGAGAGATACAGACTTAAAACAGACATGCAGATAGCTAGCAATAGTCGTAGCCCACATTAATGACAGTCACTACCTGTTTTGTAACAGCTGTTTAATGTGTAATTTGAATATGCTGGACAGGAGCACAAGAGTCTATTCTTAGACCGGCAAAGGCTATTACCAGGTGACTGAAGTCCAAAATATTTCTCAAACTAGGTTTTTATAAGTTATGTATTAGTAAGTTAACTCTTGGTATTTCTAGTAGTGGAAACATTTTATTAAACTTGATATAAATATTTTCTGTGATATTTGCAAATATGGCATTGTACATGAAAGGCAAGAAAAACCTGCTTTTGTTCTGTAACAATTTTCAGTTTTAAACACTGATGCTTAAATTTCCAGATTCTTAACAGAAAAGTGTTTC